GCAACCTTACCCAAATAAACAGAAACTAGTCTTAGTTTAATGAAGACTAGTGTCAATATGCGTATGTCTATCGTAACAGATTATTGCATATAAGGTATACATAAGACTAAATTGAATTCATAAATTCTGAAACTAAGTTCTCAGTGGAGAATTTTTTAGGAATTGAAATTTTATGAATTATCAGAAACCAGTTGGACATTTATGTTATTGTCCTTAATTAAAGTAATAAGGCATATTATTGCAACCAGATGGTTCAATTGGGGATGAGTGAGAAAGTTTCAGCAAATGTTTCTCAAGCCTGCACATCTTAATCTTTTGTAACTGGTATCATAATAAAATTAATTATACAATATTAACAATATTTATTATAGAGCTTATATATATTAATTTTTTCAATAAAATACACGATATGCTCACTTTAAAAACTATATTTTTATTTTAAATAAACGAATATTTAACTTATGCTGATCATCTTATATTCATTATAATAACATATAAGGAAACATATAAACTCAAAATTTTATTCGACAATTCAAAGCTTCAGGCTAGATTTAAACTTTAATTATTTTACTTACCTTTGGAAGTTTTGTCGTTTAACATAATTTTCTCGCACGAACTCTATAATTTGTTTTTGAGTCTTACCGCTATAACTGTTAAAAGCAGAAAATTGATATATATTATTTAATTAAATGCATTCAAGAATTAAATTATATAAAAAACTAACCGGAAGGAGCTACCTCTTGATAACACTCGCGCTTTCCTTCTAGGCTGATTATGCACTGCCGCACAACGGAAGAAACCATGATTTTCTACACATTTTTTCCAAAAGTTTTTACATTCATTGCGCCCTTCAAAGAAAAATTCCACTGTATCCTTGTAGTAACCCTAAAAATGTTACAAAAATGAAAATAGTTAAAAATAAAAAAATGTTAAAAAGGTAAAAAAATGATAAGCAGAAATATAGCTTTACACTTACATAACCTTCCGGATGTAGTTTGACTAAAAAACGTTTACGTTTAAATGATATTTTACGTATTTTCGCCCAAGAGAATGTATTTATGCGCGTTATATTTTGGAAGACAGCAATACCCATGTGTGCAACAGCCAAGTTAAGTGGCACTCCTTCCACATCTTTAGCAGGATGCATTTTCATGCCATATAATTCACAACGTCTAGCTGTTTCTAGTAAATTTAAGTCAGCTTCAGCCGGTGATTGGCCACTATAAATACACACAAAAATACCAAAATTAATATGAATTCTAAAAAAAAATAATTTTTTGCAGATTGCAAAAATTAATAATAATATTTAATAATTTCTGTTTTATTAAATATTATTTAAATTAATAATGGTAAAAGTATTTCCTTTCAGACATACTGCAGAACTTAACCAAGAGTATTTATATTAATACTCCAACATAATAGAAGTACAATGACCTCTAACTCTGTTTAATCAAAGAACACATGAACAAAACTTAAACTCTTATCACCTAAAAATTTGCTAATGTTGTGTTTTTACTCTCTCTTTCCCTCTCGCAGGACTCCAAAATTATTAATTGACACGCTGATTGGACATTGTTTGCTTAAAAATATACCTGCACAGAGGTCTTGACGCTCACTGAGAAACCCTCTTATTCATATGTTAACAAAGAAAACATGTAAGGTGTTCATTGCGATCCTACAGAGAATAGAAATAAAAAATTTTGATGTGATTTAATCTCATAAAACAAATAACAAAGTCAAACAGAAGATCATAGATATATTCTTCGCACTCGTTGTTGTTGCTATTGAAGCTTGTGGAGATCTGTTTTGAAGATAACATGAAAAAAAATTATAAATACGAATCCTGGGTCAAGGAGAAGAAACCTAGCCACTTCTATGGAACGGCTAGTCATAGAATCAATTTTAACATTTAAAATTAAAATTTGCACATTAGGACATGAAAACATATGTGCGATATCATGGGGAGTAGAGCTACACTTAGGGCAAATAATGACAAGTAACTGTTTAGTAAATGATTTTATCCTGACCCTTATTGGACTAGGACAGTTCTTGTTGCATGGGAAAGGCCCTGCTCTTCGCGGAAGATATAAAGCGGAAGCCTGTTGAGAACTTTATTGTGCAGCACTTTGTATTTCAGTGGAGGTTTGTTAGTTCACGTAGTATTTGAGCTGTTGTTGCTGTAACCCGTCAACATCTGGTTGTGTGGTCACTTTGGGAGGTGCTGAACGGCAGTTTGTTGTCTGGAATGGCTGCGAGACATATACCCGGTCGTTCTTGGAACTTGTATTTCAGTTTGTTGTGTTGGAATGTTGGTTTCATTGCAATAGGTGTTGTTGTATTTATAATATAAAGAAAGGGCTTGATGAATGCATCGTGGAGTTAGAGTACTACGGACCATTTCGTACCGCATTATTGTTGTTTTCTGTTTAATTACCTATTAAATTACTAATCGAAGTTTATATCGGACGTAAATTGTGTCACAAAAATATTAGATATAAAGAATTTATTTTATTAATGAAGTTATATATGTGAAATATTATATATTATTAGTTTAAACTATATATATATGTTATATATAGAGAGAGATTTTAAAAGATGGGAGCATGTCGTTTTAAAGTACTATCTGTTACATTGCCCTATCTCTAAAATTTATTAAATATAAAAAATAATATCAGTATTCTAACTTGTTTATAAGTTTTTAGCTAACAACTGAACTTATTTTTAGATGAAATTGAAGACAAAATATTATATACAGTGTTATAATGTCTCATTTACAGATGTGTTTTTTTAAATATATTTTAAAAAGTAGAACAATTTGGAAACGTTACCTCATACAAAATAAGATATTTGTATATTATAATTTGGCAGTAAAATAGAAAATTGGTAAGTCTAAAAACATACCTTAGTACAAAGTAAGCCAAAATTTAATTTTTTTATACAATAGACTTTCTTATAATTATAAAGCTTTATCGCTATAAAGCGTAAAGGAAACATCTTCTCAGAATATTAAATTTTCACAACTTTCGCGAAACCAGAAACTCTTATAAAACAGCGTTTATGCATTTTGTTATTCAATAAATATGACGTCAGAAAGTCCTTTTATTATTGTTACTGCAATTGGCACCTATGTTAAGAACATTTTCAAGAGATTCACAGTCTGGTAGACTCTTGGAATTATCATCTGTTAAAACTTTTTCTTTTATCTCAACTTACTATATTCGTTAATCTTGTTCTAAATATGAAGATTTATGGTTTGATTTGAGATATCAAATTAACTATTTATATTGCATCACTTCGCTCATTGTTTTATTTAATTTTTTCCATAGATAGTTTGGCAAGCGCAAATCAAATAGGAAATACCATAACAATACAAGATAAAAAAGGAAAATAGATGGACCAATTAGTGAGAATTTACAAGATATAAAGTTTGAAGAAGTGGAACTTGTATTCTTACGAATTCTGTGTATAGGTGATATTTCAAATTTAATTAAATTCGTCTTTAAAAACCCTACTTTTTTCATGAACCTTTAGGCACTCTACTTTTATGAGAGAAAAATATTGCTAATAAAGCAAGTTTGCTGCTTTAAAAGGTGAATATAGACATAGTATACTTCTCATAACATAATAAAAACACTAAGACCCGTTATAACATTATTGCGGAAGCTCTTTATCGTTTCATATTGATAAATTATTAATAAATTTAAAAATATTCGAAAAGAATAATAAAAACTTTAAATTAATTTTTAATTTTACACGTATAAAATGCAATCCCTAGTTAAGTTTGCCGCAAATATTAATACATAATACTATCCATTGCCCTCAGCTAACTTTTATTTAAATTTGTAAATTAAATGTTTGCATTTTAAATAAATTTGAGGTAAAAATAGTTCTATAAAAATTGCATTTGCATGTAAAATTTTATGCTGAATATTTTCATAAATATTTAACAATTTCATTTCAAAAATTGCAAATTTACATTTTACCTTTACATATATAACATATATACTATATGCAGTATAAATATTTAAACACTAAGTGATATATATGTATATATATAAAAACACCTTTATCGATTGATATAAAAATTTTACAATTTAGAAAACTTACACATGCTTCTTATGATTTTCCATAATTTTGCGTTGCATTGTCGCATCCTGATGTGGTACGAAACGATACGATGACAAATATGTGTGGTCAGGATAATCTTCAGGCACATAATCACCACATGATGCTTGCACAATATAACTGGCCATAAGTGCTGCTGTGTTGTCGGTACACTGAAGACTACCCATAGCCAAGTCACGTTTGATTTGCAAACAAAATAAATATCTGAAAAATAAAGTAGCAAAAATGTAAAGTGTACGGTACGGTACGGTACAAAGGGTAAAAAACAAATAAATGAATAAATTTCTTTACACGTTTGCATAATAGCAAAGCAATCAGCTTTTGAATGTGAAAGGCTATTTGCATTTGCCCGCACTCACCTGGTATATTCCTCCTCTAATTGCGCTGGGTCTGGTGTATAAAACTTTACGCAGAAACGTAGCACCGGATCAATAAGCGAAAGACCAACTTGTCTGTTTAATGGCTTCTCAAGGTCTAGCCAGTATTTGGTGTGTGTAGAGATTTCCTGATATTCCAGACCAAAATAGTCGGCCTCCAGTAAATTCAGTTGACGACAAACTTGTTCAAACAGTACTTTCCCAAGCGCCTTGGCCTGTAAAGGGCAAAGAATGACATTAGTATCAAGAACACACAATTACAACTAAAAATAAAGCAACAAATTGACAGTAAGGGATTGAGAGATACGCATGAACTAAGGAGAGTTTTGAACAAACGGACAGTTAAGGTTACATTGTTTTGTAATTCAACCTATTTTAATATTTAAGCAATTAGTTCTATTGTTGTTGTTGTTCACATTTTCAAGGTGTTTTGGGTTGTTTGCAAAATTTGAATTAAAAATTCAAAAGTAAATAACTTTTTTGGTACCAAAGAAACTGTCAGCATAGCTTCAAATGCTGAGGATTAAGTAAGAAAAATGGAATTTAAAATTTGTAATGTTACCAAAAAATATTTGAATATATTATAGCAATATAAACGAAAATGTCATGGCTTATTTCAAAGATTCAATACCAATAAATTTAAGTACTTACCAATATTAATGCAATTTAAAAAAAGTAATTATATTAAGAATGTTCATAACTGCAAGAGAATTGCAGTAATAATAGCAATAAAAAAAATATTCAACATCAATTAGAAAAGTTTTATAAAAACTTAAAAAAAAAAAAGAAATAGAAACATTTTTTTTAGAAAAGAAAAAATAAAAATACCTGAGCGGAACCCTGGTCAGCGTTACTGTATCGGTGCTGACGAGCCACTGCATAAAAGGAAGATATTATATGAGACTAAGTCTACGCTATAACGAATTTTGTCTCGTCTGTGGCTCTGAGGATGAAGAGGAGACTGTACTCTATCTTATGTGCTATCGCCCTGCTTTAGCTAAGAGAAGATCAAAAATGTTTGGGCTATGTACAAACCTGTGATATCACAATCGGCCATTATTTGAGCTCAAATGGGCTTTCTTACATACATGTCCGCCACTCCAACCTAACCTACCTACCTATTAGAAAAATTATTAATTCGTTGATTCTTAAAAAAATTCAGAACCACTGAAATTTTCGAATCCATTTCGATCCATCCACGAATTTTTGAGAGATAGAAACCATACAGGTTTCTATTAATTTGAGACCTTGCAAGTTTTTATGACTGAACGTTTTTTTGGGGTAGAGTACAAGGTGTATTTCGATAAATATCGAAAATGAATACAAAAAACGAAAAGAATTGACGGAGTATTTCATGAGAAACCAATGCAGTATTTCAACTTTAAAGTTGATTAAGAATAGGGAAACAAATCAAACGGGAGAGGGGATAATTGGTTATTTATAATTAAAATTGTTATATTTTATTAAAATTATATACCAATATTTCGATTATCAGGGAAACTTTCTTCATATTATATTTTTATTACATTCAGCAAACACTTGATGATTTATGTAAAATTTTATTAAGAATTTATTAATAACTACTTAACTAGATTTTGTTTACATTTAAAATTGTAGATTATATGTTTTAATTTTTATAAATATTAATTATTCTATAATAAGAGCAACCTCTTATTATAAATTAATTACACTTAATTAAATTGTAAACAATTATTCAAATTTCATCTTTTAACATCTAAATAATACATTTATTAATACGTATATAAGCAACTTCAACCTTCAAAGTTCCGAAACCTTATCTTATCCAAATTGTATAAAGAAATAAAACTTTAATTGCGATGAAAATTAATTACTTAATGAATATTTATAATATCATTTACGATATAAATTACATATTGCAAAAAAAAATATATGAACGAAACTAAAAATAAATATTTAATAATAATATTAAAACCAATTTATAAATATATCTACTTATTAAATATCAAGAAAAAATTAGCGCCATTAGTTTTCTAAAGGTCAACCGCACAAAAAAGCAATTGTTAATTATTACAAATATGTAACTAGATATATAGAAAGAGTTACTAAACAGAGGTAGATACAGTAGAGATTTATAGAGTTGCTAGAAAATAGCGCTATTAATTTTCTAAAGCCATTGTTAATTATTACAAATATGTAACTAGAGAGTTACTAAACAGAGGTAACATAAATTGTTAATTATTACAAATATGTAATTAGATAGATAGAAAGAGTTATATAGATCTACCTCTCTAAACAGAAGCAGAAAGAGTTACTAGACGTTGATAGAGATAAACTATAGATAGACTTATAGACCTTTAGATAGAGATAGAGGATTTATGCTATAACTGACCTCGAAAAATTATCCAAACAAAAAATATATAGTGTTTAGACCCTGACAGTTACGGTTAAAATGAAATGTTGAGAATTTCTAAAATCATTACAAAGTTCTCTACTAATTTATAGCCCACTTTAATCTTTTATGTGTTCTATTTGATAATTCCATATAGCTTGTGTAGTGAATACAGTATATACTCGTATGTTAAAATAGTAATCTGACTTATTCAAACATACAACGTTACAAAATGCCTTATGATCTATGTATGTATATTGAAGAATAATGTGGCAATAAATTGGATAAAAATTTTTATTGATTCAAATTGAAAATATTCACTTTATTGAGAAATGGTCAAATTTTATTAAACCGCACTAATTTTGTACGTGCGACTATGTAAAATATTCAAAACAATGCATTTAACATTAATATTTAGAACGATTTTTTTAAATAAATATTCACTAACTTAACCACTATCGTTGATATGAGTAAGATTTTCTATAAATGAGTATAAATAAATTACTGATAATAATAAATGGAAATAATAGTTCATAGAAATATATATAGAATGGAAATAGAAATGTTTTGAAAAGCAATGAAAATTGAAAAACTATTAGAGGTAACTCAAAGAAAATTATATACTATTCCACAACTTGTGAGTAATTAAATAAAGTAGGTCAACGAAACTGTGCTCGACATAAGATGCCATATAAAGTGCTTCCAACATTTCATGCGGATATACATATATATTCACATAGAAATATATAAAGGCAATTTTTTATTTTAAAAATAAAATAAAAAGAGATGTGCTTTTTATTAATGAAGTTACACACTTATTACATTTAAATTAAGAATATAGAAAAAAAAACTATCTAAATTACAGTGGAACACAAAAGTGTATAAAAAATGTTTATTGATAGCAATCATTTGAAGTAAGATAAGCAGTCTTCAAAACATTTTTAGAACGAACTTGTTTATAGTAAACTAAAATCTATGTTAACGGGTGATCTGAAATACTTTAGCAATTAAATACTTTATATCAATTTTGTTTACGTTGAAATTTAAAAAGTAAGAATTTTCAGAAAAACCCATTTTTGATAACTATAGATCAAGAAGATGTTTAAAAAATGTATTAGGTTGTTCGAAAAGTAATTCGTTTTTTTTTTGTTGAAATGAAAGACAGTTTTCGTATAATAAACAAATACTTAATTAAATTATATATTGGCCGTTCTGGCCCAACACATTTTGCCATCTTTCTGGTAATAGCATAATTCCACGCTCATAAAATTTTTGGTCTTTGTTGGTAAAAAAGTGATCAAGGTGGTTTTTGACCACCTCATTTGAGGTGAAGATTTTCCGATTTAAAAAATTTTGGAGTGACCGGAAGAAATAATAATCCGATGGTGCCAGGTCTGGAGAATATGGCGGGTGTGGCATAGTATTCCATTCATGCTGTAAAGACTTTTGACGAGTGACTAAACTTGTGTGAGGTCTCGCGTTGTCTTGGTGAAACACTACATCTTTCCTGTTGATTAGTTCTGGTCTTTTCTGTTAAAGTGCATCATTCAGTTTGTCCAGTTGATAACAGTAGACTTCCGAATTAATCATTGTGTTATCCAGTAAAAGCTAAAAAAAACGATTTTTTTTAAAATCCCACCAAACAGGCTTTGGAAATGGTTTGAAATGGTCTTTTCTGTTAAAGTGCATCATTCAGTTTGTCCAGTTGATGACAGTAGACTTCCGACTAAATCGTTGTGTTATCCAGTGAAAGCTAAAAAAAACCGATTCCTTTAAAATCCCACTAAACAGGCTTTGGAAATGGTTTGAGCCGGTTCATATTTTTTGCTCCATGACCTTTTGCATTTGACGTTGTTGTATACAACCCATTTTTCGTCCCCAGTGATGATGCGCTTCAAAAATGGATCATTTTTGTGGCGTTTGAGAAGCGAATCGCAGACGTCAATGCGGCGACACCGATTTCTCTCTGTGAGAACATGGGGAACCTATACATTGGGCTTTGAGGATAATCCCAGGCCTTTCAAGTGATCATAAACTGTTGAATTTGATAAATTTAACCTCAATCCGATCTCAAGTGTTGTTATTCGCCTGTTCAAATCAACTAATGCCTTTATCGTGTCTTTATCAGCTTCAACCGACCTTCCCGAACGTGGTGCATCTTCGACATTAAAATTGCCGGATCGAAATTAAGCGAACCAGTTCTGGCACTGACATACTGTCAACACACCTTCTCCATACACATCGGTTAATTTCCTTCCGGCTTGAATAGTATTTTTACCCTTTCTGTAGTAAAACAGTAAGTAAGATATGTCGAAATGCTGCTTATCGCTCTCCATATTTAAAATGGCATCAACCAAAAACTACTGCGTAGAATTAATTGGAATTTTTTACACACAAGCTTTGCTATATGAGCTTTCAAATCATATAAAAATTAAACGGCTTAAGTGTGAAGTTGGATGCAAAAAAATACAATTACATCCTCTGTCGGGAAAAAACGTAATTACTTTCCGAACAACCTAATATAATTTTTACTTTAGCGTTTTAATTTTAATGAATAATACTACCTAGATACTACCTAGAAGCACTAACCTTTTCACAAGAATATTGGATATAAGATAGCACAGATTTCAACTATTTTCGCACGACAAATAATATTAGCGACACGACTAGAGTAACCAACAAAATTTACATCTGTAGATTTATAGTATAAGTCAAGGAAAGACTATGAAACAGAATGACAAAGCAGTATTAGAAATTTTTAACAAACAAGTTTTCCTCAATTTTTTGGAGCTTTTCGAATCGACAACGACTACCGCATCGATACGATGAATCAATAGTAAAAAA